CCGGTAAGATACTACGCTCGATTTGATCATAGTTCAACACCGACGTTGAACTAAAATTGTATAGCATTTGAAATAGTTGAAATTCTAATACGTGGTTCAAAAGTAGGCCAGACTGTTGTCAGTCTACATAATCTATCATCTATGTAAGAACGCATGAACTGACTATCACTGATAGATGAAATATGTATGTGGAAGATTTGCCATAAAATTCCACAATTCTACAACACAGGGAAGCAGCAATAAAAGAAGGCAATATCAAGATCTGGGAGGTACCGTATTCTAAGTGAAATATTTAATCCAGAAAAGGCATCTTTGGAGAACTGGATGGCAAAATTCTAAATACTTCCGCACACTCCGAGAGATATACAGTAAAGCAGTTCAAATGTATGCACTCCTATGCGGGACCAAAGTCCCAGTCAAAGTCAAACAGGGAAATTTGTGCAAATCGGAGTCTCAAGAGTGAATAAATACTTGCGTCATTGCAGCGTTAAGACATTCTAGTACAGGCGAGAAAACTTATGAAACCCACCTAAAACAACGGTGATTTGGTAAACTGTGAATGTAAACGGAGAACTGCCTTGTCGTTCGGCAAGCTAGAACAGGCTATGAGGTCAATGCCGGAGAGAACCACACATAAAGGCTGGCAAGCGCGCACAAAGCCCTCCACAGTGACAAGTGCCACACTCAGTAATGCACACTGCAGACGCGGTAAGTAAAACAAAGCACTTGGCCATGGTGGATAAAAATCATGAATTTTTGAAAAACAGATTTTTCTATCAGTTGCTGCGGTGCCCCGGTATCTTACTACACAGTTCTTATGAGGTTAGGCACTGATCGGCACTTTGTGCTGTAAACTAATTGAACCCGTCGTGCATATTCATGATTCAAAATAATCTACTTAACAGAGGAGGTACAAGTCATCACAAATTTTGCCAAATTTTGTCAAAAACATCTAAAGTTACAATCTGTAGTGATGCACCTCTTGTCTTCCTTGAAGCTGTAACAAGCTAAAGTACTGTAGAATGACTTATATTAGCAAAACAGAAAAGAGCTGAGGGCCATTAGCGTGGTCCGAATACCAATTACAAACTGAAAGTGCAACCTGGTAGAATTAAATGTCTACTTGGATGAACACACTTTAAAGAGAAATCAGGTCACCACAGTAGACTCATGCATTTTTAAATAGCCTCATATCGACATTAACAAATGTTTTTATGTAGTGTCACTTTACGGGAATATTAGTGGCTCTATGTGTCGCAGCTCTAATATTTCTGACCTTCTTTCTCTACCTCCAATTTCCGACTATTAAATCGCCCAGATTAACTGGTGGGAGACATCATACACTGCAGGAGGGTGGGTTTTTTTACAAATCGCCTGAGTTTTATTAGGAATCCGTTTTCCCTCCTTCCTAGGCACCGACGAGATCTTCCTAGTCGCATCGTCCGTCGAATCAGCCAGCTTACTACCTGAATGGAGTCTTCAAATAAATATGCATTCGTTATTTCGTCTTTCTCTTGAGTACCTTCTCTGGTATTCTCCAGAGGGCCTTTTCCTTCACATCCAATTCTAGTCAAATTTTTTATTCGCTAACATTTAGGCCTCATCCTTGTATCCGATTGATGGTGCACCTTCACAAGAGCGCATTCTATAACAACCAATCCGTGAGTGGTTGTGTGAGGATCTGTGCATTGTAGACGAAACAATTTGTTAATGAGACAATCTTTATCACTCGGAGCGCACCTTTGCGCATGGATGTTTGAACGTGTGACGTACTGCAAGGGTAAAATGGATCCATGGGGCTGCACTAGTTCTCTTTCTTGGTAAATGCTAAGCTGGCTATACCTGTCGTATTTTTTTTGTCTGGTGTTCCTTCTTGAAGTTGATAGTTTGCTTTATCTCGCATTGACAACTAAGATTTGTTCATTTAATGCCGTTTACGTCAAAGATTTGCAAGAAAGACTTCATCCGAAATGACTATTTGTTATTTTCCGGAGTGCATAAGGCGAACCCTACCCGTGAGCATACTTGCTCCTGCGGCGGGGGGGCTTATCCCAACTCATCTCGAGCTTCATCCCCCGCATCCCTCTGGTAACATTTCTTCACACATAGAGTAGTTTGATTTTCACATTTACGCGGCGTTAGGGTGAGGAAGTCAAACACAAATAGTGGCGGGGACTTTAACGAAGAAACTAATTTATTTAACTGCCTGCAGTACCCATCACCTGAATTCAACTGCTGAAATCACAAAAACATATTTATTCAACTTGTCATTTGAATAAACCCTCCCAGTGAACTTTCATTATTCCTAAAAACGCGTGTGATCATGTGATGGAATCCGCCTGTTGTCTTTCAAATCCTGTTTTTAACTAGTCACTTTTAGCAACCTTAGGATTTTATTTGCTATAAAATTTATGGCCACATGCGTAGACCTTCAAATGGTGTCGCGGTGTTAGTTTGCACTGTAGTGGTAAATAGTAAATGCACACTTGAGGCTGCTACACGCTTCGTTCAGGTTTGGATGAATTTATGAATCAAGTGCAAAAAAGCAGCACAAAAAATTTTTGCTGCCACTGCAAATTGAGTCTTCCTTCAGGTTCAGAAGTACTAGGCACTGCTTTTGACCTTAAGTGTTACGATACATTAGTGAACTCTTGCAGGTCACACGAATAATCTGACACAAAAGCAGTGTTAGATTTGTGTTCAACCTGTTTAAAAAGGGAGTTAATCAATAAAGTCATTTTCAAGGCTCCCTTACTTTGGCTGTGGAGGACGTTACGTATTCATTTGCACTAAACAATGTGGAGTTTTGCCATTGAGTTGGAAAAGTAGTAAGGGATTATAGCTTTTTCCATGCCAATTCCACTTTCCTACTCTTGTAAGAAGAAGAGTATGACGTCAAAGTTTTAAAGGGATCGACGATGGTTTCTGTAATACCTTGATTGCTTGCTTAACTCCTCGTTTTGGCTACGTGGGCGCTGAATGCTGCAGTCATGGTACTTTTGCCCGGCAGCATGGCCTCCGGCCCATGTCAGTGGGCCCCAGCTCTTCCCTACGTCGGCAATCCATACTCTACCCTAGTATTTTGAATTCTTTTGTCTTCAGAAAGGACTCGAGGTGCTACATTGGTAGTAGGGAAGGCGAACCCTTGATTTCCATTCTTGAATGCTAAACCTTAACGTGAGGGAAAAAGGGCATATATTACCTCTGCAAAAATATGTTATGAATACTAGCAGAATGCCTGAAAATGACGTTTATCTTCCGCAATTACTCCAGTCTCGTATTCTGTAGGAACGTCATCAACATCTGAAGCAAAGCTAGTGGTAGCCGTGATCCATCTAAAAAAGTCAGGTACAGAGCTGCCCACGGTACCGATATGAAGATGTCATTGAAGCTAACATGCAATACCTCCTCTATCTATCTACTCGCTGGATAGAACTCAGATAGAAATGACTAGGTAGCTCTGTAATGCAACCAAAGTGATGAGGAGGAAGAGACGCAAAATGCTATCCCCACAAAACTATTTTAAACCCCGTTCCTTCCGGCCATTACTCTTAGGACTGAAGATAGCCAGCACGTTCTCTCTTCCCAAATCCAGCTACCAAACAGGAAAAAACTCTAGATCCATCGCATTTGCCTGGAGGAACCAGTGACGTTATGGTCAGGTGTCTTCTCAATTGCACGAGAGTTCGTTGACCAGCGCAGTTGGTTCGTGAATGTTTTCCTTACAGCACCAGTTGCATTGTGATGGCTGGCCAAGGGAACAGTGGGGACAACGCTCAAAAAGGGAGGGGCTATGTACTACTTGGAGCATTAGTTTAACAGCTTGTTTTGGTCTCGCGGGCACTTGAGTCTCCGCCTTTGTACTTTCACTGGGCATCATGGCCTTCAAGCTATGCCATTAGCCTCTCAGCGCGTCTCTACGCAGGCGATTGATATTTCGCTCTATTATTATTACTTTCTCGTCCTCAGAAATGGCTTAGGGCTCTAAATTTCCCCCCCAGGAGTTGAAGGCAACCTCTCTGTCACATGTTTGACGCAAACTGGCCACTTCTCACCTAAAAGATAATGTTCGAAATAAGTCGTAATATAAATTGGCATCCAGTATACCAAAAATTTGCACTGCTGTAAGCACTAGATACGTTGCAAGCGTTGAAATTGTAAAATTACTTCCACAAGCATCTAACAGTAAGGCTTCAAATATAGTCTTCGTTCAGATAAAAGTTATGGTGTAAAAAGCAAACTTGTCGTGCAGCTATCCCAGATTTCCCTAAAGATGAAAGAAAATGCGATCCTATGGCAAAGTAAGCATTGTCGACAGGCGGAAGAAGTGGGGGTTGATGGCATGGGGAGGAGGTCATGCCACCCAGTGGAAGCACAAAGGCGGAGCCTTATGTGCCGACGAAACCAAAATGAAGGATTAAACAGTCCTAGCATTACAATTGTAGCCGCTTTCTAGGATCTGCTTGCTCCGTCAGCGTACTTCGTTCCCCAAGCTTCTAATTTACCTTTAGGTGAGGATTAGGATTCGGCTGGGATTTGAATTCGCATTCACGCTACAGCATTTACATAAAAGCCTCAAATTTCTGACGGAGAAACCCTGCTACTAGTTTTCTGTGTTAAAACATCCCACCTCATGCGAACCAACATTAAAGTGTGAGAATTTCATTTCCCATTTATTTTAAAGTTCAGCAAAATCTGTATAAGCCTTCTGGTGTAAAGCGAAAGAAGTTGGTTGGCATATCTTCTATGAATTATTATTATTTCCTAAGTTAGGACATTTAAAAAACAACAGAGTGCATAGGTTCTTCCAGTTCATTTGATTTCATGAAACAGTTGGAAATTTAAACGGCCAATTTCCCGTTTGTGGTGAAATTTGATTCACCAAGCTTTCGCCCCTGCTTTCATCCCGTGTATCTTTCCTTTCCATCCATCATCCAAATGTACAAAGGTAAAAGCCAAGAAAGTGGATATCAATGTGTTAGAGAGGCTTAGTGTGATCCACTTTGGTGTGTTCTTGATCGGTAAGATCTCGTACATAAGGGGTGTCGATCACACTCACCTCAAATAAGTGGGCAAGTGGTGTTTGGCATTAACTGGAGAAAAGTGGCTATAATGGAGGTTTACTTCTGTCAAACATTGAGTGTTTCGAGGGGAGATATTATTCTGCAAAAATGTCTAAGTGTCATAGTGGGGGTAGCACATATGCTCTCTCAATAAGAGATCTCGATATAAAGCAGGACTTCCTTTAAATCAAACTCTCATTCGGTCAAAATGTAAATAATTTTATATGGTGCTTCAGCTAAAGATATGTGACACCTTACTGATGGTGTTTTACCAATTGGTGACCATTTGAAAGAAGAAACAGAATAGCAACATGCATTACAGCAGGTGGGCCGGGCGCGCTCGAACCAATCTGATTCGTCGGACGGGTCAAGTCGTATGTTTGCACGCGCGCGCACCTGCCAGCCCAACTGACACAGAAAGGCACCACTGTAGCTGCAGAAGCAGCAGTCTCTGTCGAGGCAAAGTTCACACCGCTCTCTAGTCTGTTAACCAAAAGGAGTGAGGGAGGTAGGGCGGTGAAATGGCAGCGTGACACCGCATCGCATCATATCGTCGAACGCTCAGTGTCTCATTAAAGGGAAATGCAACTGACCAGAAGCATGGTTGATGGTGAGTTCGATGTCCTTCCTTAATCCAAACCATAAGAGTAACAAACCGCCTCAGCTTAGTGGTTATTTGGTTTCCAGGTTTTATTATTTACATTACTCGTGATCATTCGTTTATGACATCGTGTAAAACCCCCTACTTATTTGAGCGCGATCAATCGGTACGCTGCGTTTACCGCGTTCGTCTTCATGGTAAAGTGGGAGGTGCGTATAGGTGCCTCTCTTCGCGCAATTTAAGCCTCTTTTCTAATATGGTCAAGTGACCCTTGTAATCCCATTTATCCACACTCAGTCGGCGGTGAATGCATTCATTCGTATCACACTGTCACTGAATTTGTGAATGACCTCTCTCCTCGCCTACAAATGAACCCAAGGTGGCAAACGTGCTTATCCGACCTTGTACTAGTACTGAAAAAGGAAAATTTATTTATGCATGCTATTTTTTATTGTTTACTAACTGAAAATGCTAGGCAAGAAATATGTTTTTGGAAATCCTTATCTTCTTTTAACTTGATGCATTTTTAGATAATCATACCTCAAGGAAGTCGATTTACCTCTCTCAGCCAACAGTAAGTTCAACTAATTTTAGTTATTCTCTTGAAAATGGAAAGAAGAAAAGTTCACAGCAGTAGACAAAATCTTTGCCATAGGGACATGCCTCCTAGTAGACAAAATTCAATTCATTTTTTTTTTATACACTGGGTGAAGGAGGGAACAGAGATTGGTGCCATGCAATAGCGTTTATGTGGCTTTTCATCCAATTCCAACTAAGGTATCAAGTGAAATTAGAATGTAAGCAATTCCCCAGGTAGTTCCGCTTCTTTACCTACTACGAGGAGGCCGGTGAAAAGGAAAGTTCACGAATTATAAAATATCAAGTTCACTTGAAGGAGTCGGGGTGATGATTGGCCACTCCAACGCGGTAGAAGACTTCACGGTCAATGTGGCCACATGATCTGTGGCTTCGGTGTGTGCACTTTATTCAGGTCCCTCCTACACCCTGTTGAAGTTCAGAAGCGTTAAATGTCGAAATTGTTGATCGTAGACTGCCAAATGAATTCGGGCAAAAGGATTGCCCACCAAGCTGACAGGCAAGAATGCGGAGAGACTGGACTTGCTATATTACATAGTAGCAAATAGGCATCGACGATTTCTTGTGTCAAGTACCCTAGGAGGGGGAACTTTTGAATACATAGGCAGTATTTTAGGGACTATACCTCTGAGTTTTGTTTTTTGATTATTATTTGCTGCCTCTGTAGTTGTACCAAATTCCCATCGACTTGATTGGCTCCTCCACCATTCGTTCTCGCAGTCAAGGTGAACGAATCTACCGTAAGTATTTGAGTCTGTGCTGAATCCTCTTCGTCTGATTGTCGCACTCCCCTTTAAGGACTCGTTTAGGGGCAAACGGAGATTCATCCCGTGTTTGAACCGCCTCCTAGCTTAGTATCTCTTTATCGAAGGCGCGTTGTATGAGTAATTATTAAAACGCCAATCCCTCCCAAACGCCATCTGAGGATTTATGGAGACCAAAGCTTTGGTTGCAAGTTATATTGGGGAGAACTTTTCTTCCATGGTTATTGTGAGGCAAGTAAATAATGCAAGGTGGGGTTCAATGACCTTGATGACGCAATTTTGGGTTGACTCAAGTGCCTCGTGTCCCTTGAACAATTTAAGCTGCTCTTTGAAGGGGAAGTTTATGAAAAAGCTGTAAGCAGGAGCAAAAAATAGCGCGAAGATCACCAGATAGAAATATTTGGCGGACTTTGAGACATAAAAGTGGCATTTATAAGTGGTATGTACCTCATAAAACGACTCACCAAATTTAATACTCTCTCCTGCATTGCAGACAACTGTCCTAATGGACGATACAGGACTGAAATAACTCAGCTCTGTGGCGAGAAATACATAAAAAGGTAAGTCATTTCTGAACATCTCCCTTCGTAGGATGGGGTGACGTGGAGGATAGCTTTACCCGCCACATTGGTTTCCACTTCTGGTGCCGACGTTTCCCTCAGCAGCCTTGACCTTTCCCTACTATTGTAAACACTTTATTGAGTCATGACGTGATAGATGTGTTGGAAAGGTAGCTTAAAGTTAGTAACACAGTCAGTTAAATGAGTAAGGAAGTTAGTACGTAGGTGGAACATTTCCTAGGACCAACGTGACACCGTGATGTTGACTGGTAAAATTTATTTTAACCCTTGGTCCCTCGAATATCGCCTGGCTTTTAACCTATGGGAAGTGGGTATTCACTCGGCTGTAATTCGGTCACGTAAATCTCGAAGCATATTTTATCAACAAATGTCTTTCTTCAATTTTTAGGTATCTCCCGCATGGGGAAAACGGCGCACGATGGGGTAAGTCAAAGCACCGAGGTAGAGCCCATAAAGGTAGAATGAATCACCCTCCAAATGTGCAATATCCTCGATTCTCATTCACCTCCACCATAATGATGGCCAGCAGTAGTCCAAGGACATTTTTCGATGGGTTTTCATGTAATTCCTTGCATTCGGAAGTGGGATTTTCCAACAGACGAACATTTTATTGCCTAAGCAGTTAATCGGTGTTACTTTAACCCTTTCACCACCTATTGTGTGACGCCCTAATTTCCCCATCCGACGCAGGGGTCACAATTACGTGATACATAGATGCACGTAATCGCTTGTTACCAACAGACTGTAGATGATCTTTGTAGGGGAAGGGATCATTTCGATAGTCAAAGTCTTAGTGTCATATCAGAACAGGAGGAGCACCTGAGCTATGGTAGGGGATTTTCCGCTAAGGCGGAGCCCGATAAGGAAAGTGTGTTAAGTACATTGGAACGTGTAGTATCTCGGATCCAAATTAAAAAACAGGGCAAAGAAATTTTAGCTATCACTTGATCGCCCGAAGGTTTGGTAAACTCTAGAATACTTAAAATGAATGTCATCAGGTCGCATCTCATGCATCCTGTGGTTTGAAAATAAGGTTGACCGTGGCGATACATGTTTACCCTCATTTTCATCATCTGGAAAAGATTACTACTCGGGGAAAAGAAACGTAGGGCCTCAAAACAAGTTCTTCAGAGTTGAAAGTAGAAAGCGTAAGGAGAAGAGTTATCAGCAAAGATATTGTTGTACGTGCTGGACCAACTTTTGAAAGGTTTAAAGGAAAGACAGTAGGTAATTATTTCCTTAGGTCACCACGTGACAACACTAGGTAAAAACACATCAGTAACAAAGCATTCTTTTGTGTGGGCTGGCCAGAAAGTTATTCCTTGAAATGTTTATATAATAATGGTGAATACTTCAAGTGGTTTACCAGTCTAACACCAGTGGCTAGAGTCAATAAAGAGCCACCAATTTCCCTTTCCATCCAAGGTGTCCAAATGCACCTGAATAGTTGTTGCCTGTTTCCTACACCGTTCAATCCTATCATTTTATTTTGTGATGGACACGAGTGAAATGCGGACTCTCCAGGCGATCTTATCATTGGGAGAGTCAAATACCGATTCTTGTGGCCGGGTGAACTTGTGTGTTACCAGGTCACATCCTACATGTCCGATGCCCTGAAAAACACGATTTACTTTCGCTGCACCCTTGCATGGCTTCATTATTTAAGTTTGCAAGAGATGCATCTGCATGTAAGAGCTTCAAAGTTAATTCCACAATTACTGATGATCAGAAAGTTGGTGGTTGCATTCAGTGAACTGAAATGATGGTCCGCCTTAGGGAGGAGGCTTTTCAACTCCCCACGGTGAAGGCTTATGACACTTTGAGGAAACAATTTCACATACAAATCTTCCCGTTAAGAACACTAGTTCTTTGGATATGGACACGAATGTCATTAGACTGGGAGATAAACACAGATTTCTGCATTTGCTCGGAGCCGAAGCTGTGGTCATTCCCTTAAGCAAACCTTTCAATCTGTTTCAGACTCGACCCTGCGATTGGCACCGAGCATGGGCACCCTGACGCCGCAGCAATGGGGTACCCTTAACTCACAGGCCTCGCCACATGAGACCATGAGCCAGTTTTCCCACTGGCTGGGTGAGGGCGCCAACAAGAAGCAGAATTTTTTCCAAAACACCTCCCAAAGCACCTTCAACCAATGGTTCAGACCCAACTTTTCGCGAGATGCCAGTAGGTTGATTGACCGATCTTTCTTGAGTTGCTGAAAGCGGATCCTTTTGATGACCGGAAAAGTTTTAACTAAGCACGCACTTCATTATTCTTGCCGCCTAGGCGTACAGTATCTCAAGAAACAACCTCCTGGGGGTTTTGTCATTCGTACGAGTTCCCGATATCCTAGTTGCTATGGATTGAGCATCAAAACGAAGGATAATGAAAACACTAACAATTATGGCGGTGAGTTCGCCCACTTCTACTGAACAAGCACTACCCATTCCAAGGCGATTTCTCGGCCCACGTGAATGTTCTTTCATGACATGCAATTAACAGCCTGTTTAAACCTTTTAGCTAACTACCTTTAAACTTTCTCACTTTTCCCTTTCTAGATTTTTCTTTCAAAAAGTCCTCACCTCTCGAAACACTCGTGAAGCCGCTAAAGAGCTTTCCGTCTAGTTTAGGAAAGTCTAACCAACCTGACAGCATGAAAATGCCAACCTATTCTTGGATTTTGCGAGATGATTTTTCTTTCTGTTTTGTCAAAATGGCAATTGCGTGACGTTAAGGGTTTGTCTGCCAGACTAAATTGTATACCTCAACCTGTTTGGGGTGTCGGTGATGAGGCCGTTGCGCCGTTACCCGAGCTGTCGAATAGCAGCTTGAGAGATGCATACAGCTGTTTTAAAGCAAATTGCATTGTTTAGGGCTATTATGAGGAGAGCCATTTGGCCTCCTTCGGTACACCTCTCCGGCAATGCCAGGATATGCTCTGAACGCTGAAGAAAGGAATAAGCAAATTCAGCGTGTATTGAAGTCCTTGATTAGTACAGAAATTAGCATTAATTAGCGTAATTTTCGGTGAAGATCCACAATTTACCCCAAAGTGAATTAGAATATTTAAATGCCAAGTTAGGGTTGTATAAACATTGGTCTATAACATTCCGACGTCAGGCGCTAATTGCCCTACCTCGATTGCCATTAACCCCATCGCCTCTCCAAAAAGGCCTAATAAGCCTCTATAGTGAATATCCTGATCCAGGGCTTGAATAAGTACCTTACATCGATGCCGGTTCAATCACATAATCCCATCAAAACTAGCATATTGCTTTCAAGAGGTTGGAAAAGGTTGCTAATAGCTTAACTCTGTTCGGATTATACAAGGGAAGTTGACGTAGAAGGATAATGAAACCAGCAAACCTCGATCACTTGCCTATGGAACGGCTTCAAATAAGTTGCGCATAGATGGGAAGTTACTAGTGGTGACGGTTAACTAGGAAAAAGAAGATGCTGAAATAGTATCATGATTAAGTGGAGGACAACGAGATTTCATCTGAGATGGGAACGAGTCTGTTTATTGTATTTTCTACACCGACACCCGTTCCAATGTTGTGGACTGAAAGGAGTGGGAATGCGAGAGACGAGGAAGGTCCACCATGTGGCATCTTTGATTGTTCAACAACAATATGACTGCATGTTATGATACGCTAACCGCATGTGAGTGACGGCGGTGTCGTTTCGCTACAGTGGGGTTCCGAAATGTGTCTCTGCCTGTGCTACAGGGCTGACGGGTGAGCAGTCGATCCGACACTTTCTGATAGGAGAGAGCGCGGAGGGCTGTTTCCAGATTCAAGGCACGGAGATGGAGCCGAAGTTCAGGAGTCTGGTGGATCTCGTCGCCTACCACTGCCAATGCTCGGGGGCACTGCCCTGCGTCCTCCGTCTGCCTGGCTACCCGGCCTCCTCCACACTCAGTCTGGTGAACGCTGACATCCCATTGCCGCCACTCCGATACAACGAAAGCAATTCTATCGGTAAGTTTCCATCTTCCCACCATCTACACCTTCATCATTGGAGGTGTTTGCAACCACGGTTTTAAATTCATTCCTGGTGAGGAGTGAGGACTACATAAGGTCTCAAAGACAATTTCAAAATATAGATTTTGGTTTTTTATCAGCATTAATACAGTAGTAAAATTTACCGCCATTCGTTTGGCTGACTCCAAAATTACGTGCGTCGATTGACATAGGACACAAGAGTCCATGGAACACTATGGTGGAACCACAGAAACCCTGACAGACTAGCTGCGCGGAATCAGTAACGCGGAAGATTAAAAGGTCTCGCGTATAAGAATGTATAAATAAGTCAGACATCAGCGGATTACATCGCTTTAATTGGAGCACAGTTGAAGATTGAATTGGAGCTAATTTCAGTATGAGGTCTTAAGTTTCCGTTGGGTCTGTAGCTTCTCAGATCTTCCCAGAAGTTATGGTAAACTGGTAAATCCAGGAGGTCTGTAAGGCTTCGAGCACGGCTGGAGAGCTACGCCGGCAGATGGCGGCATGGGTCGCAAGGATTAAAGAGGTCCTGCAGATGCATTCTCATTGGACCACTTGTCAGATCAGTACAAATCACTAAAGTGGCCACCTTGATCATTTATTAATGAAAGAGGATAGTGAATGCCACGTAAAACTATCAGTTTAAACAAATTGTGGCAGGAATGGTTTAAGCAATACTCTTCGGTACTGTTAACAGGTGAATCCCTTTGTACCTGCCACTGAGGCATTTACACATTTGGTGGAATTGGATTTCAACGCAGAGTGAATAAAACAAAGTGAAGTCAAAAAGTCGAAAACGCCTGGATAAGTAAAAATTTCATCTAAATTATCTGATCACTCCAGTGGAGATTGAGTTACACCTGAAGTTAAGGGATAATAAAACTGCTGAAACGCTAGATGCAATCCTTTAAGCACCGTAGAGGCTGCAATGCCACGTTGGTCATATTTGGACCCGGCCGGGGAATAATTCAGTTAGGCCTTCAAAGCAGGACCTACTTTCCGATTTCATGATTCACAAGGTGGACTGAATACCGGTAGGGGATTCCATTTGTAACTTGATTTAACCTGATTGATTTATAAATCCGGGTGCAAAGGGTCAAGTAGAAAATAACAGGAAAAAGTTGTTATCTTTCCAATTTGTCATAGGATTAAAATGTGGACATTTATCACTAGCATTTTGCAGCACGATCCATTAGCCCATTCAAGGCGATTCGGTTTTAGGTTAAAGTTGGAAAAATGTCCCTCGGTGTCGAGGCCAAAGGTGGAAGGTGCAAATCTTTTGTTTTTGCTGCATTTTTATGCCTCGCAAATGTATTGTGTAGTACTTTATAACCATCAACTCTGCTAGTTGACCATTTTGTGCAAGGATGGGCATATAACGAAAGTGAAGATTTCAGACACCTTTGAGTAGAAAAACTCAATTATACTTGGCTGCCCGGAAGGATGTAATATGCCATTCTTTAAGAGTTCCTGAAAATAATCCGACTTGCAAGTGGAAGAAGCATATTCTTTACAGAAGGCTGAAATTTAGGCACAAATGGAGGTTGTGAAGCTGACCCCTAGTGTTAGGCGTCTCTAACAGGGCATCCGTAAATCCTGATATTGTGCCTTAGACGGAATGGAAATGTTTTAACCGCTAATTTTTCCAGTATATCAAATGAACCAAGCATTAGTTGTCAAATTTCCCTGAAATTAGTGATTTGATTGTGTGACTTACAAGTCATGGTGGCGAAATGTGGAAACCACCGTCTAGATTACACTTTCCTTAGAAAGCATGAGTGATCCAAAAAGAGAGGCGAGTCCATAATATGGTACGAAATGAATTAGGCATTCCCTATTGACTTTGTTCCATCCACGAAATCACATTATTTACTCATAAATTATGCCGACAAGAAAGTGTGAGAGATGCTGCCTCAGTAGAGCTTTTCGCAATCTAAGAATGCGATAGCATTAAAACATTGGCAAGAACTGTAGTTACTTCTAGCGCCCCGAGTCTTTTCTGAAGACGGAAAAAGGAGTAATGCTTGGGCAGAATATATATTACCGACTCAGGGACTACAGGCATGGCCCAGAGGCCATGTGGCCTAATGAAGGTACTATCGCGAACCCTTCAATGCACACAAAATCAAAACAAAGAGTTAGGCAAATGGTTAAAGTATTGCATAGTCCTCCTCTCCTCTTTAAAGCGTCGTCCTCATGGTCATCATAACGTAGCCGGTGCTGTAAGGAGAAATGCCCACAAACAATACACGCCAGTTATAGAATCTGTGTGAAAGTGCGGATAGCATTTGACTACAACACTGATTCATGCTAATGATACCACTGGAATTGGAGCTTAGCCCTGTTTAGTAGCTGCATTTGGGGACGGAGGATTGCGTTGGCCATCACGTATGGCCATCACTAATTGACACAACGCTGGCCTGGAAGCAGTTACTTAACAAAGGGCGGGGTTAAAATGGCTTGGTGCTAATAAACTGCCTCTATTCCGCCTTGCTACTTCGTGCTCGTTTGAGTACTACCCAGCTTTATCTATTTATCTGGGTCTATCCAACTAGTAGAGAGGTGAAGGAGGTGGCGTGTGTCCTCTCCACTGACATCCTCATACAGGTACCGTTGACAGCTCCATAGCGGGTTTCTTCAGATGGTCCACGGCCGCAGAGATCGGGATTCGCTTTCCGTTGCCATCAATGTAGCATCCCGAGACCCCATGAAGTCGAATGGGGTCGTAATCATTAAAAAGGATATGTGATGTCGGCGAAGAGAGGGGTTGGGGTTGCTGGCATGGCTTGGCGGACTCTTAGGTTAAACAACTAATCGATTTATTTTTATGTTGGTTGAAGGTCCCAGGGCTAACGATGCTTGTCAACAAAAATGTCCATAAGATTAGAAATCAAAGGATTACCTGAGAGCGTCTCTAATTTCCACAGTTGCTTGTTGAACTGATGAGTTTCGGTATCGTCTAAAACCGATTCAAAATGTACATGAATTGTCCCACTCTTTCGGTAGCAGTAGTAACAGTTGTCTTGCATTTTCACTTTTTGTGACCATTTGAGTGTACAAAAGTAGTACACAAAAAACAATTATGGGGGTACTTTTAAAGCTGCTATTTTGCTGCTAGAATTCCAGGTCTTCTATCTGGGCACCTTTGACGTCTTCTTTCTGAACGGCAGCAATGCTGTCAGCTCGGCTATGGACACAATCCATCGAACGCAGAGCTCGCACCTCCGTCCCATTGTCGTCAGCTTCCGCGTCAGTCCTGAGGGTGTGACCTTGACTGACCTTCACTGTCGACAATTCCTTCGTCGGCATTTTGGTGCTGACTCCTTCCTCTACATTGGCGCTGATCCCTACGGCAGAACGTAAGTCGAGGGCCTCAGCCCCTTCTCTCCTTCGCCCTCTCTGGACTGCGTGTTTTGTCCATGCTTTTAGAAAACGAAGCACTACTTAGCAGAAAATACCCCTATATAATGTGCAAATCATACTTACAGTTAGATTTTGGGCACTTACCATGTGGCAAGACTAAACCTTATGCAGTGTAGGCGGTTGGAAAAGTACTGATCCAGGAATGTTATTAGAGTCACCATTTGACGGGGACTGCTATGCGCAGTCAAAAAAGTCATGCTACAGAGAAATGCGTCGCCATATATTTTCCACTTAACTTCAGGTTGATGGAAAACAATTCAGAAAACGCGAACACTAACAACGGACGGAAGTAAGTTGTCATTTTGTCCCTTCTTATTATTACAAGCCATACATTACCGAACGACTCGGAAAGTATTAATAAACGGGTTCGTGACTAATATTATTTGGCCAAGCATTCTTTAAAATACAGAAAACCATGCCTGTCTTTCCACCCCAGACAAATAAGGCGAAATGAAGCCTCCATAGCTGTTGTGCATAGCTTTTTGTGCCCACACGACAAACGGATGTAGGAAATTTAGCTTGTTGTGTATGTTTTTGTCAAGCTACCTTTTATAGCAGTTATTTGTCAATCGCCATTCATAGTTAAAAGCTAAATCCAGGAGGATTTAACTCGTAAATGCAAAATGTATGGATTACATATCTTTGAACTTTTCTTCATGCATGTGGACAGCGTGTGACACTGGGCTCCGATTAGAAAGTGCAAATTCTCTCAAGACCTTCCCACATTTCACTATGAAGCTATCGTAAGGGTTAAATTATAATTGGTGTGAATTTACCACTTGTTAAGTGGTAAGCTTTAGATTATCCCAGAAATTTCCAGCTTTTCTAAACACACTCTTCCCTTTGTCCACAGATACTACCAAGCAATGCAATTTTCTATTAAGTGCTGATTAAAAGTGTCCTCATCAAAACCCTTGATGTATCAATCCGTGGGCAGCGATTAGGTTCGTGTGAAATTGAAGCCCACTCGGCCACACCTGTCCGTTCATCCGACTACGCCCAGTGAAGCCGCTGGAGTTGGAGGAGGAGTCGCGTGAGAGCGGGGATATTTTTAAAGCCAGTGCACACCCAATAAAGCCATGGGGTTGGGTTTTTTTGTCACTAGGCGAACTGATTTGCTAACTTGTGTTAGCGAATAGAGGGGAAAAAGACGCTTTTTGGACATCACGTTCGATTGATTGCACAGAGGTGCCTACTTTGGGGGATTGTCAGGGTCACAACGGCCGATTGGGAAAGGGTAGTAAATCAAGTGAACGCATCACCTTGGATAAACCTTTCTTAGGCGAGTTTTTTTGGTAAAAAGATGCTCAGATATTTCTGCTAATAAGTGTGCTGCATAATTTTAGGATTTTCGGTTTTGTGGTTCGCGTCTCTGACACATCCGAAATGAACAGTTGTCATCTATTCGCGCAGCAATTCAACACCCAGCCATGCGAATTCATTGTGGAGACGGTTAAAAAGATGTTGAGTCGGGAAAGGTTGTCGGGTTTTTGAGGAATGCCCAATGCCTGCAAAAGCGTCAAATTAGCGATTCCACATTTGATGTCTACGAGATCCTGCTATCGACCAAGCACTTCCCTTTAACCCGTATTTTCGCCACTCTGGGATGACATTTTAAGTCAACAGGAAACGCTTCGCCCCACCCGTACCCGAGATTAACTCCATTATTACACATGTGACTGTTCTACGTATGTAGATTTCAGTATTTATTAGTCATCGCTGATATCTAGTGTTCCTTTGATAAAGTACTTTTAAAGAAGTTGGCAATAAACTTTGAATAAATCCCCAGTCAAAACCGACAACATAGCGAAGCAGGCCTACTGTGCCATTAAACTCTAGCCTAGGTTGAGATGTTTCTTTTGTTTATAGTCAAGTGAATCGATGTAAGCAAAACGAATTGACTTGAAGTGGTTCCTTAAAACAGCAAATTCTGCTCAGTGGATGTTTTCTTTCATAAAAACTTGAATTAGTTAAAAGAAGCACAAGCATCGCCATGTGGGGAATCAAAAGACGTTCGGGGAGGCTTTGCTGCTATATAGGTAAATGCAACACGGGTTGGTGACTAGGACGAAATCTTGCGCAAAAAACGTTACAATATGTAGAAATGATTAAAGTACTAGAGCCATTACATGTTACACTAGAAATGATGAAGAGCTAAACATCGTGGTATTCCACTGGTCAACTAAATGGATTCGTGTAATAATGCGATCATTCATGCATTAAATGCACAAATCAGATATGAAATCTAAAAATGAGTTGAGGTGTATGATGAGGACGGTCGCACACCTCTCCATTAAATAGATCATTCAAAATATCAAATTAGGAGAAGACGGAGTTCCAAATCACTTAGCTATAAAGTAAACCCTAACTAGATCAAAAAATTCAAGGCCTTTTGAAAATTGCTTCATCCAACAGAGATAATATTCATCCATTAGGGTTTAAGAAGGCCTGCCAATATGTGTCGAAGCCAAAAATCCATCAGGACTAAGCTTCCTTATTTCTTCGAAAGGACGAATAATTTACAAAATTGGGGGAAAATTTTTAACTAGCTAAGGAATACAATCATGTCAAAATGCGGTGCAACTTTAATGCATAAAGAAAGACTCAAATTAGGCCAGCACACACTGCTTTTTTTGTACTTATGCGTTATTTACATAAATAAACTAATATGATGCCTAATATTCTTTGCTTTACTTTAAGTTTAATTGTTTTATTTTATTATACATGTGCGCACTATTCAACATATCGCTCGTGGTTTTGATTGGTTGGTTCTTGCACGTTGTTCCCCTTAAACACACTGTAGTGAGGGAGTTGGGTTTTTCTTGCATTTTCACTATGCTTAAGCGTTATATTTGTCCTTGCTCGTAACATGCGTTAGTCGCAGATTGCACAGGTCTTCTGTGAGGTAACTGCCGCTTAATTTTTTATATTTGATAACCTGATTGCCGGAGAATTCATTTGCATTTTGATATGTCTTGTCCACAAATTAATTAAAACCTTTTCAGCTTTTTAGCTGCTTACTCTCCATTAATATGCGACTTTTCACCCACAACATCCTTACGTCTCGTGTTCTCAAATCCGTTAAAGTTGGGTATCCCCTTGCTATAAAGGTGAAGGTTTTTCTCACAACACATTTCCTCAAAGGCCACAAAAGTGGACATAACTCCTATGGATTTTGAGGCCAAAACTACCGCCCGCTTCATTCCAAAAATTGAGTGGACGGTTCTAAAGTCCGCAGCTGAGCAGGTAAGTTGATAAAGGGAAATTTTTTAGATGATACAGAACCTTATTCCTGGACTCCATTTTTAGTGACACCTTGATTTGTGTCGATTTGTATAACAAATTTGTGCTTATGTTAGTGGTTTTTTCTGGTTTTGCGTTTGGCATCTTACCATAATTTGAGAATTCTTCTGCAACAGGTTGGAGCAGATCATGTGGGCCAGCTACCAGACAGCATACCTGATGGCTATGAGAATAATGAGGAATTTTTGCACCTGGCTCACAAGGCTCTCATGGAGGTAGATGTGATCGAGGGAACCTTGGTCTGTCCTGAGACGGGTCGCGAGTTTCCTATCCACAATGGCATTCCAAATATGCTTGTCAATGAGGATGAGTAATGTTCCCATGGCCTGCGGTCTCACCCGAATGTCAGATATGTACACATATCGGCTACTTTTTTCTGCTATCGAACTCTCTCGAGGATATATATGCATGATCACTTTCATGTATCCTTTTTGCATGTTGTTATGGTGAAGATGGTCACAGTAGTCGTGATACGCATAAGCACGATATGCATAGTCAGGGTTCTTTTTTTTTTGCCGATCACCAAATTCTCAGAGAAGTGACAAAGCCTGTGTTCCACTGGTCTCAGTGTAGGATACGAAGCGACTATACGGTGACAAAGTGCGTGTTTGTAAGCAGTATTAGCTATCTTCTCTCCTTCTTTGGGAAGAGGATAGCATTTAAGGGCCGGCTGCCCTTTACTTGACGGGTAGTTTGGGTTGTCTTCATCGTCGACTCGCAGTTTTACACGGAAGGAAAGGTTTCATGAGTGTCTCCGTTTGAACGGTGAGAGTAAAATACTCATCGTTAAAATTCACTCCCGTGAAATCCTTTAACATCTAACCAATTTGTCCAAAGTAGTGAACAGGCAGTTTGAAGCAAATATTTTGTGTAAGAACACTAGTGAAAAGTAAATAGGTGACTACGCCTAAGACACCGTTTGGATTTTTTTGTTAATCTTCCTGTTAGTGGTTCGGGTCTGGCAGGGGGTGCACTCCAGATTTGATCCCAGTTTTCTCCTAACCCATCTTACCATCTATGGAGTGGGTGCATTCCACAAAGCTGACAAGTGCATGAGCTCAGATTTTTTGCGTTATGAACTCTTGAATGGATTTTAGGCGTTGAATTGCCTCCGGTTCAATTGTATCAGTTTATTTTGAAGTAGTGATTCTGCTGATCTGCGACGCTATCAAGGAAGCGGTTTGTTCATCTTGTTACTGCTTAAATTGCAAAGGTAGTCTTTGCGTTGCCAAAATTTTTCGCCACAGAATAATAAAGTGCACGGCGGTAAGCCTTCTTGCCTAGAGCTAACAGAAGAGAAAGTCAGAGAGTAATTTTATATACATAATACTCCTGAACTGTGAAAAATGCTTTATCGGAGCAGTCTAAATTACTTCATCAAAGGCGAAAGGAGGGGAAGGGAGGTAGTTATAAAAGCCTCATATAGTCGTCGTCGGGTGGGAAAAGGAGACCGACAGTGTTACATGTATGTATCAAAATATGACGAGAAGGGTGGGGGAGAGGTGGGAAGGGTGCACTCGAGGATCACAGAGTAGGCCCAACTAGTCATGGAAGGCTATTTAAAGGTGTTGATTCGACACAGTCGACAGTAGCAGAGGGTAAAGCAGACAACTGCCATGCTAGCCAGACCCACCACGTTCGACCACATGTCCCAGGCCGTCCGGCTAGCGTAGCCCAGGTCGTCTAGGTACAGCCGCCCCGGTTGACTACAAATACGAGCATAGCTGTTCATTATTTGAAGCTCCCACAAGCCCTAGTCTGCGGCCAACTCAAACCTGAAAGGTGGACATATAGGCGGGACATCGCCACGCTTTAGCATCTCGATGGCGTATCGTGTAATGCATCAATATCACATTTTAGGGGGTGTCGATTTATTATGGTCAGATTTTCTATAGCGTTTATGTACTCTTGATTTCAAATGTAAAAGTGGGTGTGCCTGAAACCTACCATTCTCTAGTGTCATTGAAATTTTGCTTTGTCCTATTGGAGGAGGGACAGAACTCGAGCTCGGCTAGTTCGTTAACAAGAAGACCACCGAAAGTGTAGTGAAAAATGGACAAGTACCGCAGCCAACTCAGCCATGGACTCATGCTGTTTAGATTGATTAGAAAGCCTCCAAACACCTAGAAAAGCACATAATCAAAAACAGCTCTTTTATTGTGGGAAAGCGTGAAAGTAGAGTTTTTTCTAAAGTCGTTAAGCATATTCACCAGACTTTAACTGATTGACACAGCTTTCAGCTATTAATCAACAGATTATGCGACGAATAATCCAAACATAGATATTCTGACTAGTTGAAACAATTATTGTTTAGCCGAAATCCGGATTAATAATATCGAAGGAGGCAGCAGTAGGACAGACCATCATGAAGACAAAGAGGATGGAGATAATGACATTGGCGATGGAGAAGAGAGTGACACTGGCGGAGACGGCCATGGCGGCGGCAGAAGCGGAGATGGTTCCAAGGGTGAGGATAAGCTCGAAGAAGAAGAAATTGCCCACTTTGGGCACCAAGCCCACCATCCAGTACGTGATGGGCATGAAGAAGAAGACGGGAAGCGCCTTCGTCGGAAAGACATCACACATCAGCTTCGCGAGGAAGTACGCCGACACTCGATAGTAGCCACTGGAGTGCTCGTGGCTGCAAGCAGTTGCAATGGATGATAAAATGCTATTTTTTGTAAAGATTAAACTGTTGGTGATACTTAGTGCCTTACAGCTAAATGCTACTCCGCATTCAATGGATACATTTGTAGAGTTGGAGTAAGCGAGATAAAGTAAATCAAGCCATTCACGAGTACTGGAACAAAACTCCCCCGAATAAGGGGCACACGATTTAACTTATGCAAGCACGCTCAACTTTTTCCTCTTAATAACAGCAAAATTAAAATCAGAAAGGTGTCAGAAATCGTTCAACACAGTGGAGGATTAGAAAGTAGGCATCACGGTGAAAGCATATTCAATGCAACGCTCCTCCTTCCTCTGCAGTGGATACCAGATAAAATTGTAATTAAAGTAAGTAATAAGACCATTTTTTCATAAATCTACATCAAAATCTTCCAGGATTTTTTACTTATTTGTAGGTCTCGCCTACGCTCCACGTAAGTAGGACAGGGCTTCAGTTGCTTTGTTCTCAGCTTGAAGCAGTACGATCTTAAAGGGCATACTTCCAGTAATGTTTACTCTGACCAACGTTAGCTTCTCCTTTCTTTTCAACTAGCAAAGTAAGCACTAGTACCAGAGAAGCACGACAAATGACACCGCCAAAGGTTTCAGAGTCTCTAAATTTTCCACTGCACTGTTGTAACTTGAAGTGGATTTGTGGGGTAAAAAATCGGCTGAAAATTCCCACTTTTATAGGAGTGTTGGGAAGGCTAGAAATAGTACGCTTTGTTGCTTCGTCTCTATGCTAATAAATCATAAAGAAATGAAGCACCCTTAGCCTGCACAAATGTAGCAAAGCATCGTCACTTCCATAGCATGTACTATTTTTGGGAGGAATGGGAAAAGTTCAAACCTCTGAGCTATGCTGAATGGCACTGTTGCAAACTTCCGGACTCAACACCGCATCCGTCACGTAGGCGACAATACAAGTGCCATTGGGTCATGTGAGAGGAACTTTTGCTTGAATAACATCACTTTACGTGGATGCAGAGCGGAAATAAGTCGGTGGGAATTAAAGAACGGTTTTGCAGTTGAAATTAAAGCCTCAAGATTTCGTGGCGCTCGCCGATACTGGTAGCTCCCCGACAGAATGAGTCGGTTTCCACTTACACAAATATGGCCCTCTCTTTGAGGAAGAGTTCAATGGAGCCAATGTTGACAAAAACCACTTGCAGCGTGGCGAAGAAGAAAAGACCAGAGCGATTCTGAATGCCAGATTCGAGGGAGTTGTCCAGTCCAACATAGACCACACCCATGGAGACGGCAAAGAAGAGGTAGACAAGGGTCTGAACAATGGAGGCTTGAGGGTCGCGCATCAGACTGATGAAGGTGCGCCAGCAAAGGATTAGCATTTGCAAGGGAAAGGAGACCGCGTAGCCTATGCGCTCAGACACCTTGGAGCAATTTGCCCCACTGGTAGAACGGTTCTGTACGGTCAGAACCTCGTTCCGTGCACTATGGCAACGAAAAACGAATATTACTTTAGATGGAGCCGTTAGGTTAGTTTAACACTCCAAACAGGTAGCTGCTAACGACCACAAACAAAAATTGCAAAAAAAAAAACGAAATTTCAGACCCGAAATTTAAGTGATTTATATAGGAAAGGTAAACATAGTATAGACGGCTAAAATAGTCCAAATTTTAACTGATTGGAACTTCAAGGTAAACAACCAATGCACGAGAAGACCGACATGCAACAACAAATGTAGCACATTAGTCATAAACCCGCCCTTAATTGTACCGAAGTGAGTCGCCATAAGCACTGTTTAGTTCTATGGTGTGGTTAGAATAGGCTACTCTAGCAAATTAAGCACCAAGATGAAGACTGCTTGTGCGTGAACAATTTCCATAACCATTTTAGAGCTCAAAAGTGTGAGCAGGATACGTAGTCGAGCTGCCATGGCACCAAATTGATAATAATACACAGATAGTGAAGGAAATTCAAATGCCTGAGGGCAAAAAAGAAAACCTAGAACGTACTTCCGACACTCCGGAGACTCTGTCCACATGTTGACGAGCCGTTCAGATACAACTCGCATCCGTCCATAGGAGTCGTCACTTTGGGCGTCGTACTCATCCCCCCCTGAAATGAACACACAGTCATGGCTAGGGCAGGCTGGAACGAGGGTGCGGAAAAGCGCAAAGGTTTTCCGAATGGAAGGGGGGATAGGGACGGGAGACGAATGCTTAACGTCACTCGCACAATCGTTGAGCGCATTTGCACAACGAGAAGATTCATTCCTGAGGAGTAATTAGTCACAGCAAAAGAAGCAGCCTTTGAACAACTGTAGATTTACCATTGTTACCGCTTATTTCTACAAAACGGAGGGAAATATCAAAATGTTCAGAAGCATGCACAACTAACAAACACTCACTGTGTTAGTCTAACAGATCAAAGTACGCGACACCACTGTTAGTTGGTTAGCAAGAAAGGGAATATGATTCAATAATTACTCATAAACGGGGCGCATTTATAGTGTGTGTGTGTGTGATTAAAGCAATCTTCTACTGTGTACAACGCCAAGGCAGCATAAAATCAAGCAAATCAAGGCCACTTCCTAGACAATTGCAAAGGCCAACAACTGCACCGAATATGAGGCGAAATTGACGATTCCATAAACGTAATTTTGAAACCTCCTTAAATACATCGAGTGGGGACGAATGGCTATAAACTACGAAAACTTGAGTCCACCTTTAGCGAGTTTAAAACCAGAACGAAAGGCACAAAAGTGACAGTTATTCTCGAAAATGCATGAGGAATAGCATTAATAGGCAAAAATTTAATGGTGAAGAAAGTAGCAAGCGAAAAGCAGGACATTGATGGCATTACCTTGAGGCACCTCTGGGTCGCAACCTGTGTCAACAAGTAGTAAAATCAAGAGCGAAAATCGCAACAGCTAAAGACCGAGTGTAAAGACATGACACTAGTAGAACACACTGTAGCTCGAATTAGACAAGCTGCAGTTTGTACCATCAGAGGTTGTGGTTTTCGTTTAATATTCACCGAGTGCCCAATTTATTAGGAAATTATATTAATGCGACTCACGCCACATTTCTATGCTAATCACGGCTTAAAATGAGTGCTTAAGAAACTACATTTCATGGTAAACTAGAGTATAACAAGAAAAGTGTTACAACCAAGATGCCAGCACCCAAAAGTAACGGTGGATGATAAGCACGCAACGAATGACCTACCATCTCTGCTGGAATCCAGGGGCTTCACTTCTCCATGCAAAATGTCTAAGAAAAAGTCCGGTGGGTTGTTGTGGTCTTCGCAGACGTAGCCTTAAAAATCAGGCAAAAAAATGGAATGAAATTGGTGCATTACGAAAAGGCATCAAAATAGCGTCGATAAGAATCTCAACTAGAGCGTACCCAGCTTGGAAAAGTAGTTTATCGGCGCTTTACGAGCCAGTCCATGGTAGACAATTTGGCCGTTGGACATGAGGGTAAGAGAGTCAAATAGTTTGTAGATGGAGTACTTTGGCTGATGGATTGAAAGGATAATTGTCCGCCCGCGTCGAGATAGCCTTCAAAATAGGATGAAGAGCACGCACAGGAGTGCGGAGAATGAACCGGCAATGAATAACAGTATAACTACGAAATGCCGCCTTTCAAGAGCTCATGACGCCTCACCTGCTATATCACTTTCATTATTGACGGGAGAGAATGGAAATAGGTTCACTAGTTAAAATAATTCAGATATTCACTTGACTTGAGCCTATTTCTCTGCAACAAGGTGATAAAACAATTTATCTAGTAAACAAGGTCCAATTTATAATCAACCAAGGGGGCGGACTCACGACTTCAGCGTTTGAATAACACTTCCAGCAGTAAATGCATCGAGGCCGGTGGTTGGCTCATCCAGGAAAAGCACCGGCGGGTCCGCGATGATTTCCATTCCAATGCTAGTCCGTTTTCGCTCCCCACCCGATATGCCCCGAATGAGTTCGGTGCCAATCTGAAGCCGACAATTATTAATACTGACAATAAAAATCCACCCAAACGTCATTTATGGGATAATATAACGAAATAGTACTTTTATAATCGCAGAATGCTTCTTGCCATCACTTATTCGTCTGCACAATTACCATTAGAGCACACAAGTCTTTCCCAAGAAGATACAAGCTCGAGAATTCCACATTCACACAAAACTTTGCTCCTGCAAGAAACAAATTCTACCCCTGCCACATCCCCTACTACCTCACTTTTCCTTTCTAACTGCCTTCACTAGCTTGCGAGTGACCGCCTCACACTGATGCTGTACAAAGGTGGCAATCCTACTACTCGAAGTTTGGAGAAATTGTATTTTCAAAATACGAAGGATGGGGCTCGGGATGAGTCGGAACCTCCCTCCCGCCCTCAAGGACAAATCAGTTCGCCTGTGAAGGGAGCGAAGAGCTCAGCAATTGACAGCCTTACCGGCCTACTCACTCGTCTCTAGACAAATGTGGATTAGACCCATTCCCATTTCCGTGACATTGCCAGTTTACATTGACGTAGACTGGTTATTTCATCACTCACGACAAACACTAATCCCGAATGTTCTTGAAGCAATGTGACAATAACAACCTCTGAAGTAACCAAATGGCAAACAACGACAAGCAACAATATAATTAATGTTTAGAACTTTTCGCTGTTGAATTTGGTTACTTGATGCTTCACTATCAGCTTGAGGGCAAATGGAGGAGGGGTATTAGAGAAGAATACACAGGATACCAAATAAAACGGATTAGAGAGGTCAAAAGGGTGCGGCTGATATCGCAGCAAATTAAAACAGCATACCTTATTATCAGCAATTTTCGTCAAACCGAGTTCGTCAAGAATCTCGTTGATTTTCTCACTCGTTTCGGCTTTGGTGTGACCCTGCTTTCGCCGCAGCATTGCAGCAAGGTACAAGGTCTCTCGAACTGTCAGCGTTCCCATCAAAATATCATCCTTTAAAAGAAAGGTTGCCTCTTTATCTCAATAAATATAAACGTATAGGAAGGGTTGGTCAATTACTGTTTGAATATAGTGTAATATCTTAATTTCGCGAGCACCTAAGGGTCGATCTATGTGACACCACCGGCTGGCCTGACCCCAGGGCCATGCCAGTGATCCTTTACCCCTTCTGTACATTGACAATACATATTCTGTCGGAGCATTGTGTCTCCTTTCGTCTTCAAGCTAGATTCAAGGCCCAACATTGGCGATAGCGGAAAGCGAACCCGATTATGAACGACAACTACCTTGATTTCCGATACCGAAGGGTACCCCTTAATGTGACGGCAGAAGGGCATATGCTGTAGATGGCAGATTCTGTAATGACTCCCAAGAGAGGGGTTGAAAATGACGTTTGCCTTCGACAACTACTCCAGTCCCGTAGTCTGTAGGGACGCCATTAACAACTGAAGCGAAGCTAGCGGTAGCCGTGAACCACCTGGAAAAGTCCGCTACAGAGCTGTCCACGGTACCGGTATAAAGATGTCACTGAAGTGAACACGCGGTACCTTTCCTACCTCTCTACTGGCTAGATGGATCCCAGATAGATAAACATGGCCAGACAGCATTGAAGTGGAAACAAAGTGATAAGGAGGGACAGACGCAAAGCCTTATCCTCAAGCAACTATTTTTAGCATTGTCCTTTGTTAAATGACCCGGCTTTAGGCCAGTGGTCTTGCGACTAGCGCTGGACACACGTGATGGCCTACACATTTGCCTTACCGCTGACAGTTTTCGAACAGGACAAAAGTCTAAATCCAGCTCATTTTTCAAAAGCGGACATTGACTACGCAGGTAGGTATCCTTTCAGTTGTACGCAAATTTGATAACTGGCGCGGTTGGCTAGTGGGAGTTTTTCTTACCGCACCGACTACATTATGATGGCCGATGTAGGACGCTGACCAAGGGGAGCGCCGGGACGACGCTCAAAAGGAGAGTGGAACTATGCAATACTCTGATTATTTGTTTAGCTTCGCGTTTTAATCACGCGGGAATTGAGGGCCACGCTGGTAGTGCCGTAGTCCTTTCCACGCCGGCACCACATAATCTGCCTTAGTACAAAAAGACTCGAGACGCTAGATTAAGACCACTTTAACTGCCTTTGGTGCGAGCTTCTCACTCGTGCCAGAGTGGCACTATATCACGGTAATAGCCGATTTTAAATGAACGTTCTTCGCGCAATTCATGAATAGGGAAATATATTTAAACGTACTTGTGAATACTAACCTGTACAACGTAGCCAGAGACACATTTGAAGTTTTTTGGTTGGGGATGGCCATCAACAAGTACCTCTCCAGTGAGGAATTGTGGATCCTTCCGTCCAGCCAAAACATCAAGAAGGCTGTTAATACATAATGAAAAGAAGATGAATCAAATACGATGGTTCCAGTTAACTTATTCAAGAGAGAAGGAAGGAAGGAAGGAAGGAAGGTGGGTATAGTCAAGTGCTATACAAAAGCATGATACATTAATAGTAAGTTCTACAATTTAAAATAGTAGAAAGCTGCTTCCCAATTGGTGGAACTATTGGGGCCGAGCGAGCAGGTGAGTGCTAGGCAGGCCAATTGCGTTCCAATGGACAGAAGTCCACCTTTCTCGTCTGAATGACATGCTCATGTAAGATTGGCCATGCGGAAATAATGCACCACACAAAGTTCCATGAAGGTCTTTGTTGGTTCATTTTGTTGAATAAGTGCGCAAAGTCAAGAAACCCAACGGATGTATAGTGCATGGGAAGCAAAAGTACGCCTTGAAACCGGGATCATAGCCCATAATTTTGACTTGACCCGTCAACAAAACATTTGCCCACACAATCAAACTAGTACTTATAAGAACGCGCCAACTGTAGATGGTTAAGAGCCTAGGATTGAACCATGAGAGTCAAAAGCATACATAACCATTTCATAATTATTAAAATGATCTGATACAACTCACGATGACTTTCCACAACCTGTGGGACCCATGATGGCGTTCAGTCCCGGGCGCATTATTCCACTAAAAGGGAAGAGAAACCAGTAACTACTTAGATTGCGACTAGCCGGTAGCGCATTTAAGGCCAAGTTAACTACACCAGCCATAAATATAAAAATCTAAGATACCTGTGTTGGTCAGGCTCACACAAATTTTACCTTAAATTCGCCTCAGAAATAGCCCAATGCTTATAGAGCATTGCCCTGTGAATAATAAACTACTAGTAATTCTACACGATCACACTGTGGGCAATGCTGCAGGAAATAGGTGGGTTGAAAACCAAACCTTTATCGAATCCAAATAAAGGACAAAAGAAGTACCTGACACCATCAAGAACGACCTTCTTGACAACCTTACTGCAGGGAGTTTTCTTGACCGGCACGACATACTCCACATCGCGAAAAGTGATCACCGAACCCTGGATCATGGAGCGTGTGCTCACGACGCTGACCCCGGCGATAGAAGTATCTCCGCCTCCACCTCGACTGTCACCCTTATCCGCCGAGCCAACGCCCGCGCCCAGCGGCAATGGGTGGAGAGGGTCAGGTTCGGTAGCGGGGGTCACAGAGAGGCCAGTCTGACTGCCCCACGGACCACGGCGCGAGTCTCGCGGCAGAGCAGAGGGCGAATTTCTCGAGGGCAGGATCTGTGACTCTAGGGGAGAGGGCCCGTAGGTTCTGTTCACGGTGGGCTGGGATGGGTTCACGAAGGCCATTGAGCGAGTGGAGCTTGTACGAAAACCGTCTACAAGTGTAAAGAAGAGAATGGCTTAAAATAAAACGTTAGAATAGGTTACCAGTGGACCTAGTGTGTATATTTAGCCAATTCAATTCAAAATAAGCAGAATGATATGAACTCAACGACAACAAATAATGATTGCAACTGAAAGAAGCACTGTTAACTTAGTTGGACTAGGTGATGGAAAGTTTACCTCTATCCCTGGAAATCACACTGCAGGAACTATTATCTTCGGGAATTGGGACACCGAGGGCAAGTCGACCGGAAGGTTTTGAGTTGACAAGGAGGTCCTCTACGAAGCTACTTAGTGCAAACTTGCGATCTGGAGAACGCGCGGAACCGTGTGTGGGCTTGCGACTCAATCGGTTGTTTGTACCTGCACCACCGCTGGCATCACCATCAAAAAGCTCCTCTTCCTGTGAGGATGAAAGCAGTCAAATGAACTTGGGATGAGAAGGGCCTTTTACATCTCCCCCATTCTTCCCTTCCCTCTTCTCGTTATCTTAATCCGGATTTAGGCAGAGCTCGAATTAGATAAGTGAATTAGCAGAAGTTGGCGGAGGAAAAAGTCGCAACAGGATGGAATGAAAAGTGAAGGTGAGTGCGCGCAGATCCATGTTAGAGGAGCAGAAAAAGCGACGAGAGGTGAGTTGCCACCCAAACTCACAAAATATACCGAGAAATTAATGTACGGAACTGAGGAAGCCGGCTGGGGCCTTGTGGCCCAATTGATCACTTTCCGAGCATGTGGAAGCATTAACGAAATCGGCCGATGCAACACATTCCTCTAGTGTAAGATAATGACAGTCAGAAAGTAAACCCAACCCGGAAAGTAGCCTTCAGATCGCCTAGCTTCTTGCAAACGGATCTACCGAACTGACTAAGTGAATAAGATACAGCATGGTAATATTATATAATAAGTCAAGAGAGTGAAGGAGCCTTAAACGCTGACCTTTGTGCAAAAAGAATATATATTTTGCCACCTATGGAGTCAGAGCACTACATACTTTCTCCATCAGATTGTTGATAACGGAAAAAGAGTGAGCAGCTAGGTGGTGACCCCTGCTACCATTAGCCTCCGCTTTCTCGCACACCGCGGTCTTGAGTACTCTTTCTTCTTCACCAGTCTTTGCCTCCTCCTCTTCCTCATCCTCCTCTTCTTCCTCCTCCTCAGAAACCTGCCTCAACGAGGCCTTCCCCAGAGCAGCTCCATCAACCAGGAGGCAGTGATTCTCCCTGAGGTACCTTGGACCCGGTGTCAAAAAGCCATGTCGTCGAGCTAGTGTCACCTTGAAGTTAAAGGAGAGGAGAGGGACAGAGTAAAGAAAAAAAATCGAGAAGGCGCTCACAGATGTGTCAGGTGAGGAGCATTTGAAGTGGAAGTAGGGAGTATCAATGGTGGACAGGGCCGAGGAGCGCGACTGGGCCGTAAGATCGGGAATTATGTGAACTCCCGTGATGGCGGGAAGGGGTTGGCGTGGTTGTAGACGGAGTGTGGGCCTATTATTCATTGTGTGTGATGAGTCTACGGAGTGCTGACCCAAGTCACTCAAAGAACGCATCTAGTTCAATGTCTTGGCTAGTCACATGCAATGGTAGGCTTCTGGCTTAAGCCAATGTCATGCACTGGCATCAGACTGATTAAAATGTTTCCATTTGGTTGGTTGACTGAATATTAGTTTAGCATGCATTGTTTTCGTTGCCATGACATTGAAAACGCCGTGGTCACGCCTAGTCAGCCAAAGTACTACCTGGAACGCACACACACAAACACCGAAACACCCATAGAAGGCATGTGTAACGGGTGCTTACATTCACAATACACCAGTTCTCTGATAAAAAGCAACTCCATGATTGGTGTGTACACTTTAGGAGAAAACCTAGCGGGTACGTGTGATCCTATAGCCGAAAATAGATCAAACGAGTACCGAAGGTGGGTAGGTAGGTAGTGGTATTGCAAGAACTAATTCGTCAATGGGAGACAAAGTTGTAAATAAGGAAAAAAAACATACTTTTTCAGAGGAGTCTATCAAATCCATGACGTCGCCGACTGGTTGTTATCCGTTTTTGAGGCGTCGATCTTGGAAAAGATTAAAATACGAATGAGCACCAAGTTATACACAAGAGACGTGATAAAGAACCTAATCTCCCTACCCCAATAAATCACTACGGGGGAGAGACAACACGAAAGGAATCTAGTAAGTGACAAAATAAATTTGATTTTATAATTTTTAGAGGAAGACTGTCACTACTTTTATTAGCAATTGGAGTGCTGGGAGGGAAGGGAGAGAACAGGACTTCCTCTGGTCGTTACCCCAGTGAAATCAGAAATATTTGAAGTACTCAAGCCACAGTAAATCCAATCTGACCTTTTGTGATCGGAAAGTTTAAAACTCGTTTTTAGTAAGCAATAGCGGCTACACCACAGATTCTGAGCACTGTAATGCTGCACGCCATGCGATGATAGCTTCGCACAGGCGTGTCAACTCTACTGATGGAAAATAAGTAGAGTGCGCAGCCGCCACATCATCGCAAGGCACGTGCATAAGCAGCAGCCGTGACAGTGTGAAGGTAACCTGTTTAAATGATGTAAATTGTGGCGTAGACGTAATACAATTAAAGCCTAATGCTAAAGGCGGAAGCCTTCAACAATTTCTACAGCACTTTTCGCAGTTATGCGAAAAATTCTCCTTGAATTGAGAATTAATTAAGGAGGAGGGGATCACTCGTTGGATCAGCAAAAAAATTCTTCACTAATTGATTAGCCCTCAAGTTGGATGTAAATAAATTAGGTGTTTGCTTTAACAGAATACCAATACCAAATGGGCACACCGACAGCAAACTGGATGACCAAAATACCATGATTAAGGCATTGAAGCAATGAAAGGCCAATCACTTGTACTTTTTTGCTCAAAAAACTAACAAAACATTAAGCTTTGGTTGTGCGCAAGGCAAACTTTAGTTTAAGCAACCAAATGAAGCTCCAAAAATCTATTCTCGGAGGGTCACGGACCTCAAACGCATATTTGTGGCTGCGAGTAAACCTGTGATCAAGAAAGCAATGAAGGGCATGAGCCGCATTCGGAGATCGCATTGAGTCGTTGGTAGCGCTCATGCTATCAAAATGTACCAACCTTTTATCCACTATAAGAAGTTGTGTTCGCTGACTGCTAAAATGTAGCAAAATCACAAGCACAGAGCATGCTAGCACCAAACACAGTGGTTAGAAAAGGCAAGCATTTAAAAAGTTTTGCGTGCCTCGGGTCAACTATGGGTAGCAAACCATAGAACCACAGTTTGTGAGACCTCTGAATGTCATACTTAAGAGGCTGGTTCTAATGTGTACCGGAATGGCTGCAGGATTTTTGCCCACGAAACATGAAACTGGCCAAGGAGGACTCACGCTTCATACTCATTCTTACGATGAGTCCAAGGGACAGGAGCACGAACGTGACAATATAAATACCTTTTTGGAGTACGGGGTGGACCATACGCACCCACACAAACGTAAACATGCCAAAGAGATGTGAAATTAGGTTGCAAACGAAGCTTTACGCGACCTTTGCCTGCTAATTAAACCATGAGAGAGTGAACCGGTGAGCCGGTTACGCCACCATCGCATTAACACCTCGAATGCTGGTGTAGTATTGCTAATGTGAAGCCGAGAATACGGTCCCCCAAAAGCTACCAGCATGAAAATTGGTGCATCAAGACACTAACCACTTTGACCTATGCAGCACTGAGGGAGGGAGGATGAGGTAATCCAACTCTTCTGCTAAGCCAGCCAATAGAGTGAAGGGAAACTTCGTGACGAAATGCCGCTGATTTGACAGGTATAATGGCATACAGTTCAAGGTATGAGGGTTACAAAAGGAAATGAGACTGCCTATTTCACATGATCACGTCGTTTTAAGCTTCAGAACGTCAATTCAACTTAATTGAAAGCATGTGCAACAGGTACCAGATTTATACGAGTGCTGCTGCAGGGTGATAGGAGTGTTTACCGTTACCTTGCGTAGAGCTGCGGGTTATAATAGAGATGGTGTGATGATACACTTAGACCAGGAGTGGACACAGCATACGAGGCGACCTCATAGATGTAGGGCCAGGCAGATTTTGAGGCAGTGCAAAGTTGAGACGTTGTATCCTACACTGACCCATGTCGCACGTCAGAAGACCGGAAAAGGTGTGGATGATTTCACACTCACGTGACGCAAGAACAAAATTCAAGCGAGTTCACTTGAGAAAGTAAACTCGTCTTATGAAAGGGAGACTGCACCTTACAGGAAGGAAAAAGTGAGCACCATAGAGATGCAACTTCTGGAGTGATCAGTTGAATGCAAGCCAATAGAGGTGAAGTAAACTAGACATGCACGCACAAAACCACCCAACGGACTGACAGGACTTAATAGCAAAAGAGTAAGAAGGGAAGAGAGATTCACCTAACGATTCTCAACTTTCCACAACAAGGCCCCACAAATATGAAAAACTAACAGCAAATAGAAATAGTCGATGAGGAGTGAACAAAGCAAAGCGAACTCGTGAAATTGACGCCAACTAACCACTGACCTTCCAAGAGCACATGAGTACATGCGAAATGTTACACTAGACAAGTATTGACTAAGGCTTCGTTCAGCAAGTTTGCCATCAGCACAGTATAAACCCAAAACGCATATGCAACTGAGAAAACTTAAGAAATCATGCTTACACGATTAGGTCTTCCTTAGGCATTCTGTGTCAAGAAATGAGAAACCGTGCCAATAAAAGAGGCATTTTTAAAAAAGTAGTGGGCGTTTCAATGCCCGCCCCAACGCATTAGAAGGAATTACTAGCAGACAAGGCTTGAATGCAACTTCAATTGCCACTTTAGGCTAAGACATAAAAAGGAAGGTTGAACGAATATGAGAACAAAAAGTGTGCCATTTTCAGTACCATTTGAATAAACTTTAATGCTAGTGCATGTGCCCAACAGCAGGCTGTTTTGAATGAAGGTGAAATAAGTACTAAAAACAGTAACTCCTCGGCATTGCACACGTTTGGTGAGTTTAATATTTCTGCAAGTTTTCTGTCTTTAAGAATGGGAATAAAAAAAGTATTTGAACTAAGTTACACTGGTCCTACATTTGAAAAGATGGTAGCGCAAGAATTAGCTCGCACTAATAAGGACAGCAAGGGGAGATGAATTGCATTTATACAATCCACGATGATTAAGAAAAATCGGAGATTCTTCTAGCACATGAGAGCCAATTTTGTTCGGAAATGAAACGACAAAGCAAAACTGAACATGAAAGTTTTTGACACACTGTATCTATCCTTGGATATGCCACCTTGAAACAGGAAGTGAACCGAGAAGGATGCAATGAGGACGCTGGAAAATCCGTCAATGTCTGACATCCAGAGTTCCAAAAGCATGCAAATAATGGTCCAACTGTGGATGACATAATACCTGGCACAAGTTCATGCTTAAACTACAGTTGAAGTGAATAGCTATTAAATGCCTCATTGTTTATGATCATAAGGCAGGCATTCTCTCTAAGTCAGACAGGCAATTTCACAACGCATCAAATTTTTCGTAAAAAAAACGAAATTCATAAAAATTTTGGTCTGATGGGACCCCAAAAAGTCAACGTTTATAGAAGTGAGTGAGCCAGTTTTTTAATTGTGCCAAGAAGCCAGCGGTGGCACACAAGGTTGAAGTTTCAAATGCTAGAGCATGAAAAAGTTGAACCCAGCCCATTGAACTCCAGTACCTGGAAGATGTAATTTGATCCCGTGTGAATAAATGTTTAAGTTCTGGAGCCAGGAAAGGAGTGCGTTCGTGGTACAGGGGAGGAAAAAAAACAGGACTGACAAAGGAAATGTGGGATTCAAGGCGATCTATTAGACTCTGAATCAGAGGCTGATGATTTAAATATAATGGGATCGGATAAAAAAAGTCCGATAAATTGAAGGTTCAAATCGTAGTTAGTCTTGCCAAAGCAAACGCAATGACTCGTGCGGTATTTGTCAATCAACGAAGTGGAATTAAAGTGGTCTCATTTTCAGTGTCTGTGGGAGAGTGCTGTGACAGAAAAATGAGGTCAACAGTTATGCGGAAGAGCTCCACTGTATGTAGAAACACATACGTTCTAACAGATATGATATAATCTCAGAGTATTCACGGCGCATCCCGAAGGGTTCAAGTTCGGCCCCAATGGAGACACTGTGGTAACATTTCAAACATGAAGTCCAAGCAAAAAATAAGAGATGGAGAATTTGGTTGCAATGCCTACGTCATGTGCAGAGTGAAGGAAATGACAGATAAATATGGATAAAATTATGAGTATACTTAACATAGTCGTCAAACAGGAAACAGAAAACTTGAAGCATGGAAAGTTAGAAAAAATTCAGAACAGCCAGCACGTCCATCTAAAAACAACTGAATGTTTGCCGCACGAAAACGTTGCTAAATAGCTTTAAACTATTATTTCTCAAACCTGCTTTCCTTAATTGTTAAGCGTTCACCACCAGAAAATAAGTTGAAAACCGAAACTAAGTTGAAAACTTAAAATCAACAGCAATCAGGTTAAGGTTTATTGTTTATTGTTACGCGGAGGGAGTAAATATTTACTTGACGGCTAAATTCGAAATGTAAATCACACAATCGTCGTGGAACGAAAGAAACACAAGTGCGCGTGAATTTAAAGGAAAGAAATAGTTTGCACGCATTGTTTACGATTAGGATATAAATGTGCACACAAGTGAAAAAGAAAGTGCGTTTTAACTCACCCACTCAAGACAAGTAGTCTGAAATTCAGGTGAAACACGTAAGAAGCTACAGGAAACGCCCACAAGTTTGATGTGAAACAATGAAGTGGGATAAAGCGTGGGATTTATAATAGCTAAAAAACATGGAAAGCGAGTAAGCAGGGCTATTCCATTGAGACCACTGCGACAATTATCCATGGGGAACCAATTTCAAAGGATACTGCAATAAAGTGATGTTGGTACTCCAATTACTGAGGCCAACAAAAATGCTTTAGCTAAGGCATCCCTGAATAGGAATAAGTGAAATATGCTAGGCACTACAGGGAAGATAAGAAAGAAAAAGAAAATAGGCGACAACTAAACACTGGAATTACCGCCAGATCAGTGTGATAACAACCCTACTTTGATGTTCCAACGTCGTAGTAATTGCTCAAGATACAAAATACATGGCACGAGCTGCATTAAAGGCGTGTGCTAAAAAGTTACAAAGGATGCCACCATGGACAGCTACAATAGGTTGACAGGACTAGCACTTTTATTATAAAATCACCCATGGCAGAAAATTAAAAATCTGCAAAAACGTCCCCTATTACATTAAATTAAAACGCGTGAAACATGGCAAAATGTGGGTTTTTTAAGCAATTATCCTTCAGTGAAATAGTGCTCAGCCGGAAGAGAAATATTAGAGTTGCAAAAAAAGAGCTTCTAAAATCGTCAAAATGAATAGATATTCATTAAAAAGCAAGCATGGGGACAACTTTACGCTTATTAGAGCAAAAGACTAAAAACCAGCTAAATACACCTGTCTTACTTAGATTGTAATCAGAGCGTTACCATTGAGTAACCTTCATTACTCCCTATCAGAATGAAATATTTTGGTGATTCTTGACGTGGTTGTGCCAACCCGGCCAATGAGGTTCACTTTCGAACACCCCACGTGAATAATTAAGGAGAAATTCATGGTTTAAGGGGTCCAAAAGTCAGAAACTTAAATAGGTATCTAGCCCAATAACAACGCATTAAAGATGAAGGCTAACCACAACTGTATGCATAAATGACACTATTTTGACACTATGCATCAGTAGTGTAAAGGCTTGAGGAAAACACCATCAGACCCAACAGAACCACAAAGTCGCATCAAACAAAAATAATGCAGGAACAGGGCAAGGATGCATGGAAGCGTACCAGGTAAAATATACAACGAAACCCAACCTAGGCAGAATACACTCAAGGCGGATAAGACCGTAATTGGAACTGACTTGGGCGCTTACATTGTACGGCCTTGATTATAGCATTCGCAGCATCATTCCCCTGATTTGAAGGCCCATCTATTTAGAAGAGTAATATGTTTTGCTAAATTTTCGAAAAATAAAATTACTGAATTCAAAATAAACAATTTTTAACCCGTAATTTTTTAAGCGTGTTTTTTTTGCATTACAGATATGCGTATAAACGACAAACTTCCTATTCCACCTACCTTTACAGTCACTTTGTACGAGATTTTAATTGATGCTACCTAAAAGCAGCTTTACTTATAAATTTATTTACGTCCTTTGCTTCTTACCTAAATATTTCCCATGACTTGCATTCTTTTGTGCCATTAGCAATTTTTGCGTGATTACGGGAATGTTTGTGTTGTTTAGTTTTTGGACGAAATTTCCTACGGTATTTATTGATAGGCAGGCACAGTACCGACCGTGTTGGAAATAAGCTTCTTATCTCCTAAGTGCTAGAAGTGGAAGCAATATTTTTCCAATTTCCCCTTTAATTTACTTCAAGACATCCTGGGACGTGGATAAATTCATTAATTAGAAATCAAAGAGCTGTCGGTCTCCGTAGACAGGCCATGCAGACCTATGTGCTCGTGCAGTTATTTGTGAAATTAGGCGAATCGCCTTACGCTACCGCAACAAAATTTATTCTGAGCCCTCAACGACCTTTCAGTAGGATCGGACAATAAGATATTTTACAAATGAAAACCGCCTTCCGGGGAAATTCAAAAATTTAGTTGATCCTAGTCCTACAGCATTTGAACGTAGTATAATGTTGCCAATAGTCACATCTTGCCACTAAAAGCAAACCAAATTTGGTTAGTGAAACGATAATTTCCAAAACTTCGGACTTGAGGCAAAATTTGTCGAAATGAGGACTGCATTTGCGGATCCGCGGGTGCTTCTGCAGTAACGATTATATTTAAGTCCCCCAGTCCTCCTTGTAGCCGTAATAAACCGACATTAGTACAGAGGAGGGTATCGTAACTAGCGAAGGGAAGCGTAGGAAAGCAAGAGGCATGATCAGAATGGCCCGCAGGACCAAATGCACTTCAAACGGGTCCCTATCACTGCATGCGTAGCAAAACCACCCCCGACACATTAAAGCCCAGAGACACACGCACGCACAAATTGTACGAAGACTCCATAACTTTACTTGATTGATGAATTGAGCCACTAGAAATGTAACTTGATTATTTGCTAGCCTCCTGATGCTCAAAAAGAGGATAATTCGCAAGCGCGTCATGCCAGGAGACTATCCCATTGGCGAGATCGCTGACGAGATCAGGCAAATCTTCAATCTACAAAAGACATAGAAACGAGAATAAACAGAATGAAAGTTACAACAACGGATGGCATGCATGGCTATAGGAGGGCAGGGAGTCTCAGCACAATACATTTCAATCGGATTACAGCTAGCACGACCGAGACAACGACTCCATATGGAATGGAGTATAGCACCCATGAAGCTTTCTAACAGCTTATTCTTAAATGAGCCGCCGCACCAACACTTACCGGGACACGAATCTGTTTCATGGTTTCCCGCTCCCGAAGGGAGGCTGAAGGCGGCTTCTGATTCACCGTGTCAAAGTCGATGGTAATACCATAGGGAATGGCAATTTGATCGGTGCGAGCGTAGCGACGGCCAATGGAGCCACCACTTTCGTCCACACGATGCGAAATGCCCACACGTGTCAGTTCTTTGGCTAAAGACGATTGGTTAAATTGTCTTAACTCAACATATCACACATCAACAGTGATGATGAACGGGCACGATTAGCATGGGAAGGGACTTACAGAGATGGCGCACAAACGGCACAAAGTCCGGGTGCAAGGAGAGGGGAAGAACGGAGCACTTGTATGGTGCTATAATGGGCGGCAGGGAAAGGTACTAAAAGTGGGAACGAGGAGGCTATATCAAGTGAGAAAATCCAACGGATAAGACTAGCACAATTAACTAAAACCTGTCTAACATAAACAGAACCAAATAACACCGAAAATTAGAAGCAACGCTGATTAACTTCACCATGGGGGTAGGTAAACCGATCATTTGTACCAAATGGAATCTGGCAGTGAATAACGGTCCTAGGGGTCGCAATCTGGCACTTAGTGCTATAGAGGGAGTACGTACGGTTCTCTGTTCATCGTTCTCGCGTGTATGGAAGTTCTGCTCCAGAATGGCGTACATAATACGGCCGATACCAAAGGAGGGCTCTATGACACTGGGCACGATCTCTTCGACTGCAAAAAGGGATAGTACATGATCAAGAAAAGAAGGCTAACACCAAAAGAGCGTGAAAAGTCTGCATTGCTTACCATGTACACGCACATCCTTTTCCTTTACCGTAACCATATCGGACGTGACTTCGAATTGAGATCCATTAACGAGGAGGGCATATTTTCTACGGAAGGTAAAACCAAACTAAATTCGGAAATTTTCATCATTTTCTAAGTTATTACTGTAACCCAACTTCAATAATCGACATTATTTCAAATCTCCGATCGACAAACTTGTATGGCAATAAATAATAGCTTGTGAGAAACTCCAACTAAAAATTGGAGGGCGTACCCTGAACTGGCAAGCTCTTCCTTGATCTTGAGACTCGCCTCAGGTGAAAGTGCTGCAAAGGCGTTTAAAATTTGGGCAGCCTCGCCACGATATGTCTGACCGATTTTCGCCTTATTTGGCACACATTTCACTTCATGCACTGTTACCTATAGGTTGTGAAAAAAAACGACAACTAAAGCAAGCATTCTTTGCCAATGAATGATTATGCTCAAAAGATTTTCCATACAAATGTTGAAGCAATTGCCACTACAAACCATCATCCATTTTTAACAAGACACAAGCTCAAGAATTCCACATTCACACAAAACTTTGCTCCTGCAAGAAACAAATTCTACCCCTGCCACATCCCCTACTACCTCACTTTTCCTTTCTAACTGCCTTCACTAGCTTGCGAGTGACCGCCTCACACTGATGCTGTACAAAGGTGGCAATCCTACTACTCGAAGTTTGGAGAAATTGTATTTTCAAAATACGAAGGATGGGGCTCGGGATGAGTCGGAACCTCCCTCCCGCCCTCAAGGACAAATCAGTTCACGGGTAGAATTTGTGCTTCACAATATACGAGATGCGACATGGGGTTTCGGATTGCTCTGAGAAGCTAGCACTGGCTATTTCTGAAGAAGTCTATCATCCAAACCTTCAAAGCGAACTGCGCCGAAGGAACAAATCTCAGCCGTCGCTATTCTTTGATCTTTAACGAGTCAACAGTTCTATCTGCAGTTCACCACACACGCACACCACACGGGCGATCCATGTGTGCAAAGTGATGTGCGCCTTAGAAGTGTGTGGTGCGTGGTGGTGGTGAATTACCCGGAGGTACCCAATGCCATGACCATTGACTGACTCCACTCCTAAAAGAGACGCCTATGAAGGGAGCGAAGAGCTCAGCAATTGACAGCCTTACCGGCCTACTCACTCGTCTCTCGGCCTTGCCAGTTTACGTAGACGTAAACTGGTTGCGCTAACCAAGCATCTGCCCATGAGTGATTAATCACCAGAATCAAACAAGCATTGATTGTTTACGAGTAGTGCATTCTGCTGACACATCTCCTCTAGATAGTCTGCCGATTTCATGAGCTGCTTCTACAGCCTTAAGATAAAAATTCGTGAAGCAAACAATCACGGCTTACGCCAGGTTCGTTCAACCGTCTTTTCAAAATAATTACCGATAGAGATCATAATAAAGAGCACTAAATCAACAGACCAACCCAAAGTAATACTTTATAATGCAAGCGATCACACGCATTTCACAGGTCCCTGCATTTACACAAAGCCATTACAATGATCTACACTGGAAGTCCTACAATTTCCTAATTATCCAATAGAAATAAAACACCACGACTAAGTAACCAACCAGAATGAGAGATGTATCGGCTACTAAAAAGCTCACCGGTTCGGGAAGAAGTTTCTCAGCCGTAAGACGCGCACCGGTGGCATTTTGGTGTTGGGTGAGATCAAAGCAACTACGATCCGCACAGCCCACGCACTCGATCCACCCGTATGTGGTGAGGCATTCGGCATCCCAGCAGTCGCGCGCGTAGTGTGCCATCTCATTCTTCATGTGCTGCCGGAAGCGGCACCGATCCGGCTTTACACCCACCATATAGAGAAAGAGGAAGATGCGAGCCATGAAGTAGCCCAACGTCTCATTTGCAATTATCCCCTGCCACAGAAAAAGAGAAAAGTACTTCTTTTAAATAATGGTTCAGTCACAGAGGTGTGCTTGTGATATACGACTGTTCTCAATACACTCAGTGTCTGACTGTCTTCATGTCTCCAGGGCTCTAATTGATAAATCAATGCCTTTAACACTTCCGATCTTCGGTTCTTTGAAAACCTCTTAATTGCTTTCTCAGGAAGGCGCAAGAAAAAAACGACAAAATCCGAGTCAGATAAAATGATGTTCTTGTTCAGCAATTAAAATCGTCTAGATCAACATTATTTACTAAAGTTCTAGTCTTTGTCAGGAAAAATTGGGAAAGAAGTCTTTTATAATAACCAAATTGCAACAACTCAAACTAATAGATAAAATTTGCATACGCCACCCTTACACCTGGCATTTACATAAATTCCATCAAATGACCTGTACCCTTCGTCTTCTACGACTTCCACCAATTTTACCTGAGTTTGGACTAAGCAAAGCGATACATTTGTTCCGACTATAGACTTCAGACTTCACTGGCAATAATGACATGGTCCTGGTCACACCATACATACGCATGGCATTTCAACCTCTACAATCTGTATACTGCTTCAGTCAATTTACATTTAGTTTTGACATTTACAACACCAACAAAAGGGCATATAAAATCAAACTGTAGCTAACCCTAGCGACGGCATCTTTAAGTGGGACTTCCTGAGTCGACTTGCCGTCCATCTGATCACAAGCGGAGAAGAGGGGGAGTTTGAGATCAGCATATTGCGCAAATTTGGGGTGAGACTTGTCCTTGGGATCCACAAAGTACTCAATCTCGGCCATTGTGAATTCACGCACTCGAATCACTCCAGAGCGTGGACTGATTTCATTTCTGAAAGCGGACCCGATTTGGGCTGCACCAAAAGGTAGTCGACCTTGGTTGAAATGGAGCAGACGTTGAAAATTCACAAAAATTCCCTGCGCCGTTTCGGGCCTCAAGAATCTATGTTGCAATACGAAGAGCCAAGACCATATTACTAGAAAAAAGTTGGTTCTAATAAATGGTTTTAATGTCTGGTTATTAGCTTTCAATATGGGAAATCTATACAGCAATAAAAAGGCAAACTGTATAAAAGGAAAGAGCGATACCAACCCATGGTATTGACCAGTTGGCCCAATAGATGTAGGGAACATGAGATTGAACTTTTGTGGGGGTGTCAGGTCGTTCTTGGTGATGGGTGACTTGATAGAGTAACGAGCTATTAGTTCCTCCAACTCATCGGCGCTAAAGCCTTCTAACTAAAAAGGCGAAACATAGCGGGAGCACTATACACGTGTTCCCTGATAAGACCAACATCCAAAAGGTGCGAAATTACCTGTGACAGACATTTGTCAATTTCGGACTTTTCAGCTTCACTAGTACACTTGGAGAAGCGAATGGCTTCAAGTGCTGCCTCAATGAGATGATCGGCACGAAAACATTCACCAGTTACCGCATCACGAACCATGTAGTCTGTGAAGCGCTCCAAGTGGCCAGATGCCTTCAAAACACATTCCGGAGTTAGTATGGAGCAATCAACTTCTAGAAGCTGCTCCTCTAGAACAAAAAATTGTCGCCAAGCGGCCAAAAGATTAGCCTTGATGGCGCAACCTGTTGGACCGCAATCATAAAGACCTTGCACACCTGCAAAAATTTAGGTTAGATATCTCTATTGAAAAAAGGCTGCGCTTACCCCCATATATTGAAAAGGATTGATCATATACAAATCGCTGTTTAAGTAAATCCTCCAACTTTGATCGATCGATTTTGTGATCCTGTTTAGTAAGTTCTAGTTCCTAAATCCTCGTAAGACTAACTAGTCATCTCAACTTTTTCCTCTAGCATCTTCTTCCTAGCTTTCAGTTCTGCAACAGCACATTGGATCTCCACATCGTTGGCTTTTTCGGACTTTAGCCGCCGGACAATATCGCCCTGGCTCCGTACAGGATGAAGAAAACACATACCTGAGTTCGAACATCGGCACGAAGTGGAGCTAATATGCTTTCAACATCAGTCATTTTTATAGTTAATGGTTGATTGCTCAAATAGGAACCAAGAACTGAATTGCA